ATATATTTAAAGTATGCCTTCTGGTGCATTGAAAGTATGCCTTCTGGTACATTGAAAGTATGCCTTCTGGTGCATTTAAAGTATGCCTTCTGGTGCATTTAAAGTATGCCTTCTGGTGCATTTATAGTATGCCTTCTGGTGCATTTATAGTATGCCTTCTGGTGCATTTATAGTATGCCTTCTGGTACATTTAAAGTATGCCTGACACTACTGGTCTAGCTGCTTAGCTGCATCGCTCGGTCGACCTCCAATACATACGCAATACTTGCTTGCCGTCACTACTACAAGTGTCTATTATCAGTCTTTCAAGCTTGCGCATAACATACCATCAATCATGCAAGTTCACCTTCAATACTTCCTATCAGTAATCGAGAAGTGGCCCAGAGCCTACACATTCGATCCACCTTGCCTCCCACGTACCACGTACCCTCTATTAACCCCCACCCGACCTCTGCTGTCAACCAATCACAGGTCACCGTAGTATCGCTACAGAAGAGACACAAGGTGCGCCTGTTCCTGCAGGATAAGCAAGGAGTCATCGCTAACACCATCCCCGGCGTGGTGGTTGACGGCGACATCACTCGGCCCGGCATGGACAACTTCTTCCTGAACTCCCATGTGGCGTTGCAGGGTACAGCGGTATGTGGCGATTGCTGCATGTCAATGTGGTGTGAGTGTGAGTGTGAGTGTGATTTAGTGGTGTGTACCAACAACCGTTGCCAAGTAGTTCCGGCTTTAATAGTGTGCCCGTCACGAGGCTGAGTGGATCGTATGAGTGATTGTGGTGGGTGTTCGTGTTACTGTATCCGCTCAGCGCCTCATTGGGCTATGTCGGCGTCTGCGATGTATTGTGCATTGTGGCATCGGCTGCTCTTCGAGCTGTCGCACGTGTGAATGAACCTGCACGCCAGCGCACGCTCATCACCGCCCTTGTTGTATACATGTATATACTGCACGTAAATGATGCGAGTTCGAATTGACACACAACCACAACCACAACTCAACCCTCCCCCTCCCCCCCCTTCCCTACACTCTCTCACCACCTCTCTCTTATCACTTTCCACTTTTCCTCGCGCAGAAATCCACGCACGTGGCCGTGTTGCACGACGAAATCGGCATCTCGTCTGAGACCATGCGCCTGCTGGCGTACTACGAGTGCTATGCCTTCCAGCGCTCTACCACATCCATCTCACACGCCGCTTCAGCACGTCTGGCTCATTTGGCTGCGTTCCGTGGCCAAGTGCTGCGTAGTGCAGGTGCCAGTGCCAGTGATATCAAGAATCTGGGCCCTGGATTGAATCCCTTGTTCTTCCTGTAGATGCATTTACCGTGTTTAGATAAGCGGGGTGTTGCGTGCGAACGAACCGAATGTCAGGACATATTTATTGGCCAATTGACAGGACGGAAGGCGTATGCATGGTATAGTCTTCAATAGATAGGAGTTTACTACTTGGCGTGCGGCAAATGATGCCCAAAATGTTATGTAAATGACCGATGTGCGCAATCCCGGACTGAATTTTCGAGCAGACTGACAGTGTCCCATTCTGCGTGTCGGGGGGGGGGGCTTCGCGAGACCCGCTACAGGGGGGTTCATAAGAGAACTTTCGGGAACTCGGTGGATGCTTGCGGCGAACTGTCGATACACAAGCGAACACCCCTGAATGACTATAAAGTGACGACTAAAACCTATATATCAAATACCGTTGGTATGCCCGAGTCCCTCGGGCCAGTAAGTATGCCAATCGGACCGTTGCATGACAAGCAGGAAAAAAATTATGAAAACAAAGAAAAAAAACTACATAAATACACATGTCTCTGCTCGTTCGGGGGCCGGTATGCTACACGGAACGTGAGAGACCCCTCGGAACTGGCATAGACTTGTGTATAAAAGAATCGCAGTTGCAAGTACGATGTTCAAATACCTGGCCTACCTGACTTATTTCAGTAAATATTGTTCAGTCGAACGTTCACTATCCGTTTATTTTGAAACGTGTTTGTTCTCGAGCTAATTAATGTACATACGAGGGAGTGACCTCGCACGGACGGCTCGAAGACCTTGTGCACACGGTGTGTGCATTCGTCACATCTGTAAGACTATGTATACGAATCATGACAGATTGTTCCATTGGGTAATATTAGTTGCCAAATGGCTAGTATTCTGCGATTACATTGTTCGCACGCAATAGCAGTCCTTTCATGACAAGCGCCTCCGCCATAGCGCTCAACGGTCTAGGTAAGAGCACCTACGAGAAATCTTGAAAACAGAAAATCCACCAGTGACCTTGAACTATTCTATTCGGGGTAGTGGGTATACCTGTCACAGTCTGTCACAGTCAACCACGAGAGTTGGCAATTTGCAATCATAACTATGGATATGTATAGAAAGGCGCTGTATGTGCTTATTGCTGGTGGCGGAAGCTGATCTGGTCAGTGGGGGGCTATTTACTAATACTTGAGGTACCAAGTCGGTGTGTGTGGAACTCTGCACAGAAATATATAATCATACGAATATAGAACAATATCCTGCCGATGTTACATAATTATACGAATATAGAACAATATCCTGCCGATGTTACATAATCATACGAATATAGAACAATATCCTGCCGATGTTATATAATCATACGAATATAGAACAGTTTCCTGCCGATGTTATATAATCATACGAATATAGAACAATATACTGAGAATCCCCAGCTATTGCCGGGCGTTGCTAACGCAGATAGCTCGGGGTCCAGCGAGTACGTTGAAGGGGTTAAAAGGCCAAGCAGCACAAATGTGATTAGTCGAAGATGTGTTAAAGTATGAGAGACCGAACTTTGGTGACACGTGCTCATAAATCGATATCACAGTACTAAGGCTCATACATTCGTGTGTTCTGCGAACGTTCCCTGGGCTTTCACGTTGTTTACCTGCTGAGGAGGCTGGTAAGTGCCGATACGTAAACCGATAGTGAGGGTTGGTTTGCGAACTTGGTTAAATTCTCTTGAGGTTGTGGCAGGTACAATAGCAATTTGCTAAGAAGGATCGGGTTGACGAGACGAGTTGGTGTCATACGGTTAAAAAGTATATGGTGTACTATGTATCATATGTAGAGTTCAGACTAGGTGCCAACGGGTCTCGGTTTATACATGCTTGTGAACGAGCAAAGGCATTGGTACCACACAATTTATAGTATCAGTAGTATTACGATCACTCTATTAATACCTCTAATCCTTTTATTCTTCTATCTATACGACATACGGTGTTCGCCGACTTCGAATTTGTGCGACATATGGCACTACTCAACGCGTTACATTTATATACGCGTGCCATCCCCTGTTGTGCCTGTGTATGTTTCGCGTCTGCTGTTTAGGTAATGCTCTGTACTATAGACGAGCAAAGTCACTATCCAGCCTGTGCTGTTTATGAGCCACTCTATGATTGGTAGTTGACAACTTGGTTACTTTTACCACTAAGTAAATAACGCTAGTAGATACGTAATGGAATGAGATGTGCTCTCAATTTAGGTCGAGCGATAAATGTACCGAAATCATTAGCGTCAGATCCACAGATACACTACGGGAATAAGGAAACGAATATATCAATCACTAGTTAGAGGAAGAGAAGTGGACTAATCTGCGGCACCGATTATACCGATTGGTATACGAAGTAATATTAATACAACCTAAGAACCCGAAAGACTGGAGGATCGAATGGATTGTTATCTGGTGCAATTCATACGAAATACATCCATAACAGATAAACGTTTATTATTTTATCCTTGAATTGATGTGTAGCCATTGATCCACCTATAAACTACATCGGATGATTCGCACTCGATTACGAAGGTAATTTTGTTACCGTTTATCAGAGGGTAAGGACAAGATCAATACTTTCTACCAAACGCATCACCAGCTTCCAATCTCAGACTTATAAGGTATGTATTAATTCGAAACTCAGACAAATAAGGTATAAATTCGAATCTCGACTAATAAGGTAAGGTATTGATTCGAAACTCAGACTAATGAAGTATTGATTCGAATCTCAAGCTGATAGGGTATTAATTCGAATCTCAGACTTATAAGGTATTAATTCGAACCTCGACGTATCAGGTAAGGTATTAATTCGAATTTCAGACTTGTAAGGTATTACTTTGAATCTCAGACTAATAAGGTATTAATTCGAACCTCGACGTATCAGGTAAGGTATTAATTCGAATTTCAGACTTGTAAGGTATTACTTTGAATCTCAGACTAATAAGGTATTAATTCGAATCTCAAACCAATAAGGTATTAATTAGGACCTCAGACTAATCGCGTATGCGTCATCGCTTCGCATTCCATCTGAACCTGGGGTGTGACTTGCACTTTCAAACACCGTGTTGGAACCGTTCCCACAACCACCGAATCCGAGTGTCAGTGTGTCACCTGTTGTTTGCATCCGAATACTACCGGCTCGTCTCTACCATAGTGTCAGTGCGTCTCTACCATGGACCATGCGTAGACCAGCGTCAATTCCAAAGGCGAGCACTACCAATCCATCACCACCAGGCAGGAGTTCGAGTACTGTGTATCTCATACCAACTTCGAACGCTGAGTGCGAACATCATGCAGGTCTCACGGTCTCCGGTTGTTGAGTAGCCCACTCATACCAAGCCATGCATCAATACCACACAACTCTACGACCACCACCACTACCCCAGGCACAAGGCCAAGCCGTAGCCGTAGTATCAACACGCTGTGACTGCTACCGATAAGGAAACACTCGTACCCGTGCAGTCATCCGCCTTACAGATTGGTAGAAACTCTTCGGTCAAGGCCTACGTCAACGCATACCGACAACGCCTACGTCAAGGCCTACGTCAAGGCCTACGTCAAGGCCTACGTCAACGCCAACGCCTACGTCAACGCCTACATCCCCCAACATGCATGGCCAAGGTGTGCGCAGTTTGCAATTCACTTGGCAACCGTCGATAGTTTGTTCATCCCTGTCTGTTGGCTCTCGTGGAACAACAGGTCAATGGGTGTTCATACACCAATGGCAAATATTATTCGCGAGCAGGGCGTGTACTAGTGTCCGGGAGGTGACCCCCCCCCCCCCTTTCCCACACCCCCTTTAGAACTACTGAACAAACACTGCGAGGCTGCTTGCACAACATTGCAATTGAAACCCTTGTACTCGCACCCTTCAATAGATACATCGACTCTTCAGCAACCTCGCCTTCCCACCATTTCTCCAGTGTTCTGGCAGGCCGTCTGCTTATGTACACCACACTTCCAATGGACTTACGCGCAAGCCCTACGCTGATACGTATGGTACGATATACCTCGCCGTAAGGCGGACCCATCATTCTCCACGGCAGAGATGCCATACGATACTTGCGCCCATGACCTCGCTGTGATCAGGAGTCGGGTTGTCCTTCAAACAGCAGATAGCCTGTACTGTCAGTCTTTACGACCATGACGAACGCAGCCTTTGAACATGCCAACGGGTGCCTAGGCTAGGGCGAATACGCCAGGCTGTGATGTACGACTCAGTACATTTTCCTCATCATCTCTTTCTCCAGTTGTGCTTGTGTGAGTGTGCCTTCCATATTCTCAAAGTTATCGTTAAACACCGAGTATGGCGATAGCTCTCCCTTCTTCCTCGCACGCCCAAAGTTTGTGAATACCAAGTAAAAACCGGAAAATAGGACAAAAACTGTCCCGAAATCGATCTCTGCGAAAAACCCCAATAACAGCAGCCAAAAAACGAACTTGAGGTACGAAATTGGAGCAAACCACAATACCGGCGCGTAGATGAAGTATGGCAGAAACCTCGTGGATTGTACCTGCGTATGCGTTGGGGATATGGCATGTATGCAACTGAATTCAGATGAATGAGGCACGAAGCCCACCGGAGCACGAACATATTTGGTTGAGAGCGCGGCACTTTCGTATCGAGTTTTACGTGAATAATGTACACAGCGAAGTGTCCTTCCAACAAACACTATAGCATAGTCGCACGCTTAGAAGTGGGCATGTATTGCATACCTGTCGTACAATATGTGTTGGTGTATTGCATACCTGTCGTACTACATGTGTTGGTGTATTGCATACCTGTCGTACAATATGTGTTGGCCATTCTGGATGCGGCCTCAAACTGAAGTCAGACTCCGCACGAAGCTTAGATTCCCTCCGTTCTTTATCCTAATGAAAAATAAATAAAACAAAATAAACAAAGATAAAAAGCACACCTTCTGAAAAACGCATGGTCATCAGCTTCACGATGATATTGTACCTTTGCTTCCTGTAGCAAATTAAAAAAGAACACACACACACACACACACACAATCGCACACACAAACACACACACACACACACACAAACAAACACACACACAAATATATATATACATACATACATACATATATATATATATATTCATGTGTACCGAAATAGATATATAGATATAATATATATCCACACACGCAAACACACACACACACACACCCACACACACACACACACACATATAAATATATATGTATATATAAATATACATACATA